AAAAATTAGAGTTTGCAAATTCCGAAGCTTTAAGATTGATGCAGGAAGAAAATGATCATAAGATCGAAATTGGAGATATCTCAAATGACATAACTTTGTAATTTCAGGTGGAAATGAACAAGAAGTTCCATATTCATGGAAAACGGCCAATACCCTGAGATGGTGGAAATGGGGGAAAACTTTAAGATTTGCAAAATATCGATTTTTTGGATATAAGTAGATAGATCTAGCAACGGAGGGTAATATCTCGAAACAATGATCATCTAAGTTACTGTGAATCTGAAAACTGAAGCGATTATGCTTTTGTGTTGAAAGAGTAGTAGGGACTATGTCACTTGTCTCAACATGCATAAACTTTGTTCTTTCAACTTCAGTCAAACAGAATTCACGGAGCAGATCATGCATTCCACATGCTTTTATCTCACCGTTGAATCTTTTTTTTCTAACCATTATCAAGTTCCTGCTGATAAGATCCTCCAAATAATCTTCTGCCGCTTCCTCTAAGCTTTTTTCACTTCCCGGCCTCTTAATAAAACCTTCAGCGATCCATAATCGAATCAATCTCCAAGTCTCAACCTGATAATCCTCCGGAAAACCACCAATAGAAAGAAAGCAGGGTTTGAGGTGATTAGGCAAATGGTGGTAACTCAAACCGAGCACTCCTAAGCATTTATCTGGATGACTAGCAATGATTTCACCTAAAGTTCGAGCAACATCCATCCAACTTCCTAATGTCCTGGCCACTTTTGAGAGATGTCCCGCAATCACTGAAATTGTTAAGGGTAGTCCTTGACATTTTTCTGCTATTTTCTTTCCGATTTCTACCAACTCTGGAGGACAATCATGTTTTGGTCCAAACACCTTATCACAAATTAACTTCCAACTGTTTTCTAAATTCAAGAGGTTCATCTTATGAGGGCTAACAGGATTTGCATACATTGCTACATTTGTTTCCCTAGTAGTCAATAAGATTCGACTCCTATTGTTGCAATCGGGAAATATTCCTCTTATGTTATCCCAAACATCCGTACTCCAAATATCATCAACAACAAGAAGGTATCTTGGACCCTTTAGTTTTTTCTGCACCAAGTCAGCTAACTCGTTGTCATCCTTCTCATCATAATCTTTTCCAATGTCAATATTTTTTTGTTTTGAAATGCAATGTAAAGCTTCTAACAACACATTTCTACTTCCATATTTTTGAGATACTGTAATCCAAACACGAATGTCAAAATGATACCTGATTGTTAGATGATCATGAGCTTTTCTAGCGAGTGTTGTTTTGCCAATCCCACCCATGCCTGATATTGTGACAACATCTAGATCCGACATTGCTCCTTTCAATCTTTCAACTATTATCTCCAAGTCATCATCAAGTCCGTGCACGATACCATCTTCCAAATGTTGCAGCATTCGATTACTTCTAGAAGAAGTGTCACTCAATGAATCCCCGGCAGATTCAAGAATATGATCATCGTCAATATCATGAGTGCTAGTGCTAAAATCAGAAACAATCTCCATCACTTCCTTCTTTATTGTATCGATTCTTTCAACAACCGGTAGAAAATTCTTGTTTAGTGAACTTTCAGATGCATTTCCACATGTCCAGCTCATTTCAATAACATTTTCTGCATAACTAACAGCATCTCTTATTATTTCCTCCAAAGACTTAATTTTTTCGAGATCAAATCTACTCTTGCTAGCTTCATCAACAACATTTTGAAAATATTGAGCAGTACCATGCAGGGATTCGAGCGTTTTAGCAGTTTGACCTTGAACGAGTTTTGGATGTCTCTGCTGAAATTGCTCAATTGTTTGTAGAAGAGAAATTACCGCTATATAAGCTGCCATCGACTACTCAAGATATCAAATACACAAAGATTTTCACTTGAAATACCTTTCACAAGATGAAAAGGATATCAATATAGAGAGATTTGAACTTAATATTCACAGATAACACAATATAAAGCTCTTTAACATTTTTTTGTCACAAATTTTTAATCCATCAACTAGTTGTACAACGTCAGAGGAGTAGGTGTAATAATACAATAATTCTTCCATTTTATTTGTCATTTCATAATATATTCCCTTTATTCTGATGAACAACTTTTACTTAATTGAAAAGGCAACAATTTTTTTAAATAAATTAAAACAAAGTTAGATAAGAGGAGTAGGTGTAATATAATAATCTCCCCATTCTTTAAGATTTTCCCTTTCTTCTGATGGACAACTTTTACTTACTTGAAAAGGCACCAATTATTTTTATTTGCCCTGATTGGACTAGACACCAATATCGAAAACATTGAAATGAAACTAATTTATATATAGCGACCCCACTCCCAACTCTTGCTGAGAAGTATAAGAGTTGAATATGATTATGAAAGCTCGAGTATTATTAATACAATGTGTGATATTTATACATGTACAAGTATAGATGAGAAAGGAGTTTGCTGGACATAAGAGACCTAAAGAGAAGAGGAAATAACTATGTATAGCTCAAACATACTAACGTACTAGGACTCTACATCCTTATCCTTATCATGCCCCTTCAACATTGGCTCAATTTGCTTGAGACCAATGTTGCTGACAAAGGACCTTCTGGGAAGTGCTTTAGTTAATGCATCTGCTAGTTGAGCTCCAGTTGTAATGTGATGAACTGAAATTTGTCTATTTTCCACTTGGTCACGGACAAAATGAAAGTCAATTGCGACATGTTTCATTCGACTGTGAAAAACTGGATTACGACATAGGTAAGTGACACCAATGTTATCGCAAAAAAGCTTAGGAGGACAAGGCAGCTTGACCCGAAGTTCTTGACGTAGGTTGGTTAACCAGTTCAACTCAGCTACAGCACTTGCTACAGCCTTGTATTTTGCCTCTGTGGAAGATCTGGCAACAGTGCGTTGCTTGTTGGAGCACCAACTAATGGGATTCTTTCCAAGAAAAATAATATAAGCAGAAGTGGAGTGTCTAGTGTCGGGAATACCACCCCAATCTGCATCTGAGTAGGCGAGTAACTGAGAAGAGTTGCCATGTTTGAAGTGAAGTCCATAGGTTATCGTTCCTTTCATATAACGAAGAAGCCTCTTTGTTGCTTGCCAATGTTTAGCTGATGGAGAGTGTTGGAATTGCGCGAGCTTGTTTACTGCAAAGCATATATCAGGCCGTGTGAAGCTGAGGTATTGCAATGAGCCAATGACCTGCCTATAAAGTGTAGCGTCTGCTGAAGGAGAACCGTCATCCAAGGATAAAACATCACTTGTGGACAGAGGAGTGCTCACTCTGTTTGCATCCAGCATATTGAACTTGCTGAATATGTCCACAATGAAGCTACTTTGTGTGAGAGTCAATCCATGAGCATGCTGTATAACTCTTACTTACTTGAAAAGGCACCAATTATTTTTATTTGCCCTGAATGGACTAAACACCAATATCGAAACATTGAAATGAAACTAATTTATAGCGACCTAACTCTAGCTGAGAAGCACCATCCACCTACATTCATTTTTCATGTGTAAAAATTCCGCTCAACCAATATTTGAGATCCTTTCTGATTCACTCACCAGAGAACGTGCCAAACTGACCGATAAACACTCTAGCTTGACATATACCAAATGTTTAGTATTAGGACATGATAAGATAAGACAAGCTTGTGTTTGAAAGACACATTTTATACGAGATCAAGTGTCTAACTGGTCACTTCATAAGTTTTTATGACTACGTAACTAGACGTGTCAAGTTTAAGGGGCTATCTGAGTATTTAGCCAAAAAAACGAAGAAGTTATATATGAACAAAAGAAAACAGATCCAAGTATGAAGCTTTCGATTCTTAATTATATCCATAGACAATGAATAATAGTAACTTTATTCATTTCGAACTCCTATTGCAATACATCAATAGCTATGGACTATGGTTTACAAAATACTTAATCAGAAATCGACAAGACATGCATAAAACATGTTTCTTCCTTGAACAAAAATTCAACAAAGGATAAGAACATAGTCCTTTTCTCTGTTTTTGTTTGTTTGTTTTTGCCTGAGTTCAACTAGTTGTTGAGCAAGATTTGATATATACGTACGTAAACTAATATTTGACCTATATGTATACACACAATATAATTTTTCGGCAAAAGGTGATGGTTGTAGCTCCGCGTCTACCTATATAAGAGATTTGACTAAAAAAAATGCTTTTGTGTAAAATCACAAGAAATCTTACATTTTAAACTTTAACTTATTACTGAAAGATATTGTTAAGAATTTCTACACTAGTTAGGTAAGACTCGGGGCCGGAGCTAGGATTGTGGTTATGGATTTGGCAGAACCTAGTAACTTTTAGGCTCAAACTCTATATTTTTGTTTTAAATCTGGTGATGCATTTGCGATGCACCAGGTCCATGATCTGCACTACATATATCGAATTTTCAGTCGACTTCAACTTATATAAACCAACAATGTAATGAAATTTTACACTATATCAGATCGACACTATTTTCTGATTTGCCCTCGATTTGTCAAGACTAAACCATATCATATATACGCGAAAGTTACTCCTAGTCCCATTTGTTGAGAATATAATCAAATAATAAAAGTGTGCTCTCTCTAACAGCTTAAGCTTTTAGATGAGATGGCCACACACTTCAACATGGTATCAGAGCAGGCAGAGGTCCTGAGATCAAATTTCACCGCCACCCAAATCAAAAATAAATAAATCACGTGTTTGGCCCATGAAAAAAGAATCAGGCCCACTGCTTATAGAACCACACATGAGAGGATGCAACAAGAAAAATACAAATAAAACGAAAAAATTCTCAAGTGAAATAGGAAAGTAAAAAAAAATCTTCATTTCTCGTTCGACTAGGTCCTTTTTTTTTTGTCTATGATGATGTTTTGACTGAGCAAATTACATCTTCTTGCACCGATGGCGAAAAAAGATATATGAAAAAAATTAATCATCCAAATTGTGATACATATTTAGAGCATTGTCAAATCAGAGTCAATCAGTCAGTGTATACAAGTTAAACTCTTATTATAAGTTAACAGCTCGACATTGTTTCCTGATTTCCCCTTGGTTTCCGGTGAGCACCTCTACCGCCCCAAGCTTGTTCATGGCCACGCCGAATTTGTTAAACCATCCCACTTCATCATTACTAAATCTTTGGACAAATCCCCTTGTTCTTATATCTTGTGTCAAAACTTGATCGGATTCGAGTAAGCCTTTTTTCATCAACAATTGCTTGTAAAATACTGAGTCCATTTTGTATTGTGTTGTTGCATCAAACGCTATTGTACTCATTTGGCTAGTACATGTAAATTTCATAACACCACCAAGTCGCGGATCAACCATTTGCGCCTTCTCGGGTGTGTCCATTCGATAAAGAAAGTTGAAACAATGAGCTACTCCAATTGAGTGTGCACCAATTAAGACAACTAAATCTTCAGCATTTAGGCCTTTTCTGTTGAAAAGTTGAATCATTTGGTCTACTGTATCATCAGGCAATGGGAGGTTGCCAACGACGTTTTCTACGCGCGATTCCATGCCATCACGTCGGCCACCAGACACCTCGTAATGCGGGAGTCCCGATGCAACAAAGGCGTCACGAGATAAATAGGCTAAAACATCAGAGCACGAGACAATGCCCGGGCAGTTCTCTTCGAGTTCTGCTTTGATCTCGTCAATGAGTTCAAATCCCTTGACTGTAATGCCATTTGACGGAGATAACTTCTCTACTTTCCCACCACTTGGTGTTGTATCGAGAAATATTGACCCGTCGCAACCCTGTATATATGATAAGTTACATACACTAACAGTATAAAGAATTTTTATGATCATCTCTGTAATTTAATATGTTTTTGTAGTAAGTTATCAATGAATTTTTATTAAGTCTTGAGTTGTCATTTAGATGACCTAAATATTTCTTACATCGCCTGTGTATAAAACTTAAACTCTATTTTCATGGTTGCAAACATCAAAATTAAAGATTGTCTTAGGATATGTTTGGTATATAATAAAGGGAAAAAGGACAAATATATCCCAAACAATCGTAAATAGTATGTAGATACCCTTTGTCATACTTGCCGTTCAAAAATTAGAGCATATATGTCCTTCACTCTAACCGAAGACACTAAATAGGGACACGTGGCACAATCTTATCCGTCGATTCGATATTTAATAAATGTCGGGTCGGTGGATAAGATTATGACACGTGTATGTCCGTTAATATAACGGGTATATGTGCTCTAGTTTTTGGACGGCAGGGACCCCAATGTTCCAAAAGTATAACGGAGGATATCTGCATACCATTTACAATAGTTCGAGGGTATATTTGTCCCTTTTCCCTATAATGAAATATTTTTCGAAAGATAATAGTCATTTTCTGGTGTTTGGTTGTCCTAAACTATTTTTCACCTAAAGATAAAAGAAAATCATTTACTTTTCTTCATCAATTCTCTCGAATGCTAATATACTTATCAATTTTTCGCTCTCTTTAACCAAACACCTGAAATATTTTTTTTCATTTTCCGAAAAAATGTGCAAAATATTTTTTTAGAATTTATGAATAATTGCGTAGAGTGGTGAGGAACTTACCTTGACAAAGCAATCATGCAAGAAAAGTCTAGGGATGGCAGCAGCAATAGTAGAGTCATTTTGAAAGGCTCTAGTTAGGCCATTTTTGATAATTTGCTCTGCTTGAGGACATGTATTTTGATAAAATCCCTCTCTTAATCCACCTAAAATCTCTGGTTGTTCGTGTTCTTCTGTAATCGGATCTACGTTATATCCAGGAAAAACATGTGGATATCCATGGTGGCCACCTCCTATTAGGGGATGCTCAAAATTGAAAGCCTCAAAACCGTGTTCATGAGACTTCATTTCCTTTTTGTTCTTCTTGTTCTTATTCTTATTCTTGTTCTTATTCGACTTTTTCTTTTCCTTTAAGGACCTTTCGTTCCTTGTCTCATAATTTGAGCTAGGAATCGCGATGTCATTGACATTGGCATGAACAACATTGTTATTGTCACCATGGATCGTTACGTCTGTCTTACTAGAATCATGTTCTAGAAATTCAGGACGATGATTGGGAAATGATGAGGCTAGCAAAGGTAATAGGATCGCGCAAACTAGTAAAATAGCTGCAAAAATCCCAACCTTAGCTGCCATAATTTGTTTAAGGTGATATGATGATAAATATTTGTTCAATTTGAGCTTTTTTGGATGGTCTTATAAATAAATAAATTTTAGAGAACAAAAAAAAGGCCTTTTAGGTTATTGGTGGTAAAGATCTTTCTTGTTAGTTATTTCAGTTAAGGAAATAAATGGTTAAAATTTTGAGAACCAATGAATTCAATTTAACTAATTAAAGAGAAATTTCACCCTCACAATAGGGAGTTCCTTATAAACTTCTTTAAAGTTTTTTATTGGAAAGGAAATGGGCGGAAAATACTTCTGAACTATTCGAATTAGGTTAATTTTACCCTTCGTTATGTTTTTTAGTCAAAAATGTTCACGTTGTCGGTCAACTAGCTTAAAAATGCGCTCTAACTAGTCAAATAGTTGAAAAATATATGATTATACTAACGGTTGCTCCAAAATAAGGAAAAAAAAGTCGTTTTTATTTAGTCAAGTCCCCTAAAGGTCTCTCCTTCTCTCTCCCTTTTATTCAGAAGAAAATTCAAGATTTTAACTTTATGGATTCGACCTCTTTTATTAGTGGACTCGCTATACTTTTAAAATTATGAGTTTGGAATCTAACATTTGTTGTTTCACGCTCTCACAAATACTGGTGTTGATCGAACCCATAGCATTACGGATACATCCACCACCCGCCGCATGTGGATGAGGAGGGTCTACTTTTTCTTTACATTTAGTTGATACTATTATGAGATAATGGTCAAAAACACACCTCAACTATCGTTTTGTCACGGGTTTCATACATTAACTATCAATTGTTTCCTTTTCCGACCTGAACTTCACCATGTACTCAACTAGGTGTTTATAACACATAGAGTGTTATAGTTCAAATAGAAAAGGGGGAACAATTGATAGTTGAGGTGTGAGACTCGCGAGAAAGATGCATCACAAAGTTGAAAACTTGAAATCACTATTCAAGGATAGTAATCAATCCCTTGCAAGACATTTACAGAATTGAGAAGAAGAAAATCATCATAGAAAATCATTGAGTTTATTGTGAAAGTAGAAAATTTTCCTTGTGGAATTCTATATTCATCTTTTTACAGCAAATCAAGTGTCACTTACATCTCTATTCAAGTCACATCCCCCCCCCCCCCCCCCCCGAAGACCCCCCCCCCCCCCCCCCCCACAACAGAGTTACAAATTACATACAGACGAACAATGTGAGAGACATTGACCGTAAAATCCATTTCAATTGCGAAATAGATTTTCGTCAGTGTGTAAAACAATTACAAAGAATGTGATAATGCAGAATTTTATAAACCAATGAGAGAAGTATCTTGCTGACTATTCAGGAGGTACTTGGTTTGGCAGTGTTGTTGTCTTTCTTAAGACATGTTTCCTGCAGCGCTCGAATATGCTGTCATAGATCAAATCAAATTGAACTCCAGCTCTTTCGCGATTCACAACGAAAAGAATGTGGTCGCCTTCTATAATTTTATAGTACCTGCACATGAGAGGAATTATCAATACTGCTGCCTTAAACACCATCATATCAACACGAGTGATAACCTGATTGGCATGTGTTGCTCAGACTCTCCAAAATGTTGTTGTACCCGTATTGGATCCTTAAAAATGCACTACTTATGGAAGACCCGACACACATCCAAGCCATCATTTTTAAAGAGTCCGAGCAACATAGGATGTATCCATCTAATTGATATCGGTACCTATGGGGAAGGTAGAGTGTATGCAGACCTTACCCCTAACTTGGGAGCTAGAGAGGTTGTTTCTGATAGACCCTCGGCATAAATGTTCACTAAAATCTGACACCAAAATGAGTAAGGTCACAAAACTAATGCCACCTTCACATGATATCATATTACTAGATTCTGCTCTGAATTTCTATAGAAGTATGATCGATGCTACATTGAATCCTAATGAGAAGAAAGGATCACATTCGAGTTAAGATTCCTCTCACAATGAAAAGATGGCTATAACAATGGCTTATCATAAAACAAAATTCCAAATTTCCAAAACCTCAATTCTTGATAACCAGAAAAACTATGACATGAATGAAGACAATAACAATGAGAACTGTCTAGTTTATCTATGGACACAGAATTAGAAGAGGAACTCTATATTGGTAATTTTTCTAAATAAATGCAAGAGCAGAATCTGACTGGTCACCTACCAGATGCCGGGTTGCAATGGCTGGCAATCAGAATCTTTAATAACAAGGCAACTAGGGTGTTCAACCGGCAAACGAGGGTGTGTCATAGATATGGTGTTGAGAGCACCGTCATTGTCCCACCAATCTTCATCCCTGCATGTATTAGATGAAATAAAAACAATGAGATGATGAAAAAAGTTATTGCTAGTATTGAATCAGTTATTTGTCGTTCCATAATGCTTCTGCATATGATGATTACATATATAATTTTGATTGAGAGTACTTAATGGTGCATTTGAGTAACTGGTTTTGAAAATTGTCAGATATTAAACTTATGACTCTAAACTGATCATAAACAGATTGTTCAAAGGATGAAAACCTACATCATACTAAGGAAATTAAGCAAAAAGTCTTGAGGTACTAAAATTAGGAGAACCGGAAATCAACTGAAAGTGATGTTACAAGATCTCTATTTTGGCACAGTGTACATCAGTCATTCATGTAAATCTACGAACTAGTCTAACAACCCACAAGAACTTGTCATGAGAATATAACCCCATGGGGGTAGGATCTCAGTGCAAAGCAGCACGGCATAACACACAGTCCCTCAATTACAATACTCGATGCTTCAGAAATTTTTTACTAACGGAGTTTCAAAATTTTGCTGACTCATTAGAAATTAGACTGAAGTGTATAGGGCTTGTACTATAATGTATCTTCATCTATCTAAGTAGATTGGCAACAGAGGAGTAATAGACACTAACCTATAGCCCTTATACGGAGGAGAAACATCTTGAGGATGCCGCCATTGGCTCATTTGCAGGACTCTAATGAATAGCAGAGGATGTATCCCTCGAATGCCAGAAGGAACTGCAAAACCCGTAACTTTTGTGGTATGCTTGGTAGCATAGCTGAAGTAGTATGTTTGCGGAAATGTACGTAAGTGTCTGTTCAACTTGATTGACCCCTGGATGGTAAGATCAGGAAGTATCCAGTCCCCTGAAGCAAATGGACCAGCATTCCCTAAAAGGTAATCAAGAAGACCCCGGATACCAACTTTCCCCCAGGTCATACTGAAGTGATCAAACCCAAAGTTGTAATAGTCCTTCATCCAAGGAATGTCGAGCCACTCATAAACTATTACTCCAATGCGGCAAAGTTGGAGCAAACTTACAGGCATTATCGACTTCTCGTCTTCAGGTCTGTAGAAGAATACAGTCAAATTCAGTAAAATGCAGTTTTACAAGTCTAAGTAAACTGGTCAAAACATGAAATTTAAGAAAGCTAAAAACAGATGATAGCGTTGACTGTAGAATTCATGCAAATCATCATAATGTAATGGAGTAATTACATGTTCTGTGCATTGGGTGCCTCCTCAAGAACTATGTACTCAAAAATCATATAGGAAATCAAAGCTAAAAACATGATATATTAACTCAGAGCTCGATCAATAACTAAGAACTATCAGAAACTTACTGCATTCCATCGAAGTATGTCCTGGTTGTCCCGTTAAGTGCTCCAGATAATGATGTTATGCTTAAGATCCAGTTCTCTGAAGTGTTCTCATAACCCTTGAATGCCTATCACAGTAAGCTTGAGGTTAACATCGAACAGGTTATTTTAGATGTCACAATTTTTCAATTGAACGTGCACTAATTTACCTTGTCAGCCAGCATCTGGTGCAGAACTCGAACAACCTGTGCTCCAGCTGAATGCCCCACAAAATGAATAGGGTGATCTTCATCCCACTCGGGGTAGTGCCCTGCTTCATGTTTTGTTAAGTGAGGCATTGATCCAGAAATATGGAAATGCGATAGTCCTTTAATGGCTTAGTTTGACACAAAGTTTAAGAAAGAAAGAACGATTTTTGAAACATGCAATCTTAAACATGTCATAACACTTGTGCGTCTATAAAAAATTGTCATTCATTAGTATAAAGTGAAAAGTTCAAGTCAAATTGTTTCAAAATTTACAAATGTGTAGTCATTTTCATAGCGGACTTATAAGGAAATAATATCATTGGGAGTGAGTAATATAGATGAAGTAGAAGATTTTGACCTTGTTCATAAACTCGTCCAAATTGGGAATGTCCACAAGCCTTACTGTGTTCCTCCCCATAATCAACCTGCCCTCCTTTCAAATAATAGAACAATCCACGAGCCCTGAAATCTAAAATCCATCAATTGTTGCAAAAACTATAGAACAAGAAGCAATACTATAACTATTGACATATGTGGCAATCTCATCTAAAAGTTTAAGCTATTACGGAAAGCACATTTTTATTTATTTAGCTATGTTTTCAAAAAGCCCATCACGTACAAGAGCTCGTTGTTCAAACAACTTTCAGAGTTCCTAGAGCTCCTCGTAAGGTTAGTAGGAAAACCCGTTTGGTTAGGTGTATTATTATTCATATGAAGTGGATAGCTCATCCTCAAAAACTAATTCATGAAGTGAACAGCTCATCCTCAACCAATATGCGACGCTTAACAATAACACAATATAGCAAAGAGAAGATAATCAAGCATTAAACCAAAAAAAATAGAAAATATTCACCTGTCATATATGCTAG